TTTCATAACACAATAATCCCAATACGATTTTATTCTCCAACACTAAATCATTTTATGGACATATCTGCACAGGTTCCCAACATGTTAGGGTTTCACCAGTGACGCGTTTCACTGTCCATGGCAGAGAAGCATTGTTACTCTCACCTCTGTGGTTTGAGTGTCTGCCCGCACCCGACTGCTACAACCTTCGGGACGGTTCAGAGCATGCAGTGAAGTGAAAATGTCAACACTTGGTTCAGAGCAAAAACAGGATTTCTTTGTGCTGTGTGAAGCATTTCAGTTGGTTGTTATCGTGCACTAAAAGATCCTCATACATTCTGCTTTGCTAGACCCGCTAATGATGAGAAAAGTATTAATGCCTAAATACAAAATATGACTCATGTTGCCCACATTAGCCTTATTTGAACAAAAACTGCCTCAATTACAAAACTAAAGACCAGGGCTGTGTAATTGGCCATATCACAACCTCTTTACTGGACTGTGTGTTGATCACTGGAAAGGTTGTGGTTTTATGTTGAATATGCAACATAAGGGCCTTCTGTTGTGTGTCGTGTTCTGTTTAGTTTGGTACCATCCCGCTTCTCAGTCTTTGGTTATGACGAGGCTGTGACTGTTTCATAAAACTTAACCTCTCACTGCAAATGTTGCCTAGTGAGTGGTCCTGCATTATTCCTCAAAACTGTACATAAGTTAATGATTCTGCCACTGTCCCGTTGATGACACATTTCTGAGCTCAGTGCTAATAATAGAAGTCTTAAAGCTACGTTCCTGCTAACTGGTGAGTCTTTGAATGTATGGTCCACGAGAGAAGAAACAAACACGAGCACATTCAATGTGAAAGCATGCTGCGTTCAGTTGCCACTGATATCACCATTGTTAAGTGTATGTAGACAGTAATGTCAGTAGTTGTGCGTTTGGACACAAGAAAGGCGCCTTCATCTAAACTAAATGGCAGCTGAACACTTCCTGCCATTCGGGCGATCTTAAGTGTTGTGTTCGATAGTAAACACTTTTCAGCCTTTCCACCTGTACCCCCCCCACATTTCCCTCCCCCTGTGTGCCGTCCTGATCCCCCTCAAAACGAAGTGCCAACTCAAAATGAAGTCCGAGCCAATGGGAGGGACAGTCCTGAAGAAAAGAAAAGAAGGAGGGTCTGTACAGTTATAGCCAAAAAAAGAAAAGCAAACTGAGCCAGTTGAGAATATAGTAATAAATTAGTTCCCACCAGTAAAATCTCCGTTGATGTCAGTGCTGGTTCTGACTCCATTAACTCTATTATAAATAGATCCGATAGTTTGGTCACTTCACATGAAAGAATGACTGGTACTCTGAGGAGAAAGTGACGGAATAAAAAAAACTAATTGGTACATTATACTTCCAACAACCAGACCATGTGAGATTCTCTATCACTGCCTCCCTGAAGTCAACTTTCTTGTTTGTATGATGTTATTTATTCCTCTGTAACTCTCGTAGCTCCCCGCCAACTCACAAATAATGACCCCCACTTTGTCCAAACAAACCCTCCCCTCCCTCTGCCCTCACACCTTCCCTTTTTTTTGTTAACACTGATTATGTTTGTGGACTCTCACAGACATTGTTTGTAAAACTAAAAATTCTGCAGCAGAATATTTTTAGAGACAATTGCTGTACAGTATTTGTAAGCTCTATTTTTGTATATTGCTTTTTTGGAGAAAATAATGTGCTTTTTTTTCCTTTTCTTGTTTTTTGCTAATTTCATGTTTATTCATTTTAGGAAAATGTTGCATGTGACTGACTTGAACTCTAAATAAAATTTCCAGGTTTTGGAAAGATGTGAGTTTTTACTCTCACGTGTTTAATAATGTATTTTTTCTCTCTGATCATATCTAAAGATAATAACAGTTTGTTAACATTATAGAGGGGAAATGATTAGATGAAGAAAACGTATCATCTTATACCAGTTAAATACAGTTGATTCAAAAAGTATTCGGACATCAAATCTTGTACTCTACAAAATATTATATGAGACACTTTATTTTTCAGCCTTAGTTAATTCACACACAAAAAAATTCTTTGTCACCACATTATCTATCTGCATTACAGAGCTTCATCTAAAGAACACTGACCCACCTAAATAAAGACAACGTTGAAACAATGGAGACTCCTTGTGGTGATAACCTGACATTGAAGGGCTGTAGTTCAAGTGCAGTTACTTGGCTTTACTGTTGAGGCTTGAAAGATCAGTTAGATGTAGATGCGTAGATACGTTTATTTTAATCTTATAGTAGAGGTACTTCATAATTTCTCAGCAGGAATCCTAGATTATTGTTGGAACAACAGAGGCTGTAAATAAAGATGGACAATATTCTCCACTTCCTCCCTTTATCCAGAAATTAAGCCAAAATTTCGTGGATGTGAACGCTGCCATCTTGTGAATTTGGAGCCAGAGTCTGCATATTGTTGATTGGGGGGTTAAGGCTACAAAAGAGAAGACCCATCTATGCATACGCTTGACCAACCATGAGTCAGTCTCAGGTGTCACTCATGATGTTTAACCCCATTTGTATTGCATCAAATAAATTCAAACTAAACTTACTGGAAAATTAGCACTTGGATAAACATCAGTGTGATAAGAACAATCTAAAATAACAGCAAACATCAGAATAAATGTATTTGTCGTGTACTTTGACTTTGTAGTTTGGTCCATGTCTAATCTGATAACATGGAGGAGGCAGGTTTTATGGCCTCTTCTACAGCCAGGCAGCAGGTGCCGATCAAGATGCTTTAGCTTCACTTTTGGGAAGCCATCAAGTTGTCTATCTTACACACAGTCCATGGTTGAGTCAGTAGCATACTGAAATACTTAAAAGAATATTAGTATTGTTGCAACAGAAGCAAGAAATTTTCTTCTGCCGCCTACATTACCCACAACACACCCTGGTCGCTGTCATCTTTGTTTAGAAGTTTAGAAACTGGTTAAAAATCTTTCATATAATCAAAATGTTTGTTTGTTGTTGCCTGCTACAATGTTTATGCTAATTTACACCATGACACTAATATAAATCTGGTTCTGTGGACTTTTGAAAAGCTTCAACGATTGTGAGGAAGCTCATTAACGTATGATGTCACTTCTTTAACCAAAAGCTAAAATTGAAAAAAAATGTATTGGTTAATACACCCATCTATTTGATGCATCTTGTGTTAATTGTATTAATTAGGATTAAAAATAACTTTTAATTTGAAATTGAAAAGTGCTCAAACCCATGTTGAGATCACTTCTTTAGTAAACCTCATCCCCAGAATTTCAAACTTTTTCAAACTTGCAGTTTTCTGCTCCAGCTGGTCCTGATATCAGATTGTGTGCAGCTTCTCCTTCTTGTTCACTCAGTCTGAATCACTCAGGAATCCTTGACACTACGACATTTACACACCCATGTTTCCACTTTAAAACTATGACTGACGAGTCTCTCGTGACTGTGACATCATTGATCCCTGGTAAAAAGAAGGCGTCTAGGCACAAGTATTTAAACTCTGCAGCATGTCGGGTTTTAAATTATTTACTCTATGCACATATATTTTTATAGTTTACTTTATTTCCTTTATGATGTGTTTAGATACCTCATGTTCTTATTCTGTGTTCCTCGCATGTTTCTGATATTTCACCCCAATAACTTACTGTGCTTAAACAGTAGGTCACATACTTCTAAATGAAGCTGAGTTTAAATAAATGAATCAAACTCATTGATGCACAAATGGCTCCCACGAGAGTGCATATCTCCACGAAGGCCGAACAGTTACCTTAAATTCAATCAAATTGCAAGTTTTACACCGTCATAGATATAAGTTCCCTAAATGTTCACTTTTTTCATAAAGATCCACAAGTCATTCCCTGGGAAAACTGGGAAATATTGAAAAGCTTGAAAACATTTTTAAAACCTGGATCCGCCTCCTGATCCATATCTGCACCAAAATTGAATGGTGTCTTCTCTGACCCGTACCACACCAAGTCTTTTTCTTTTATTGTGGGTGAGGCCATTATAGTAAAGTGACTAAGTCTAAGCAAGTTATTTAGATGTGTGCTACCACACCCAGGATAAAGATGCATTTAAGGTCATTAATCATAACCTGTTATTACTGCCTGATTCAACAAAAAGAACTGACTATAAAAAAACAGTTAATTATGTAAAACCTTGGCTAGAATTTAAACTATGAGTAAACAGAGGACAAGATGTTTCCAGTCAGATCAGATCACGTCTGATCTGACTAAATAAAAAAATTTTTTTTTGTTCTTTCATTTTATTTATCTGCTGTAAGATAACAAATTAATTGCCATAAATAAATGATCAGGACTTCATTCTTAATCTGTACAAATTCTGGCCTTCAACTCATCGATAGATTTGTTACTTCACATGAATTATAATACACTTCAGATAAACTGTTCTATCTACAGCAACAGTTGAAAAGTTTACTGAAACACCACTCCAACAATAGAAAACCCCGGCACTATTGTAGCTTGGTTAACATATGTGGAAACAATCATCGGTCTTTAAAATATCAGTTATGAATGTGCACTCATGGATTTATAGTATTCAAAGTTCGAAGTTTGCTTTATTGTCAATTCTGCAAATGTACAGGACATATGTAGTATTGAAATTGCGAGACTCTCAAACCTTTGGTGTTAGTAAACATTAAATAAACAATAATTATAAAACAATAAACACTGAATTGTGGAATATATCACTAACTTCAAACACAGTGACAATAAAAAGGCACAAACGTCTTTTTAACACTTTGAATCATCTGGAAATTTAATCCTATCAACACCAGTGCTTGTTCTGTGTATCTAAATATAAATTATATACTTTGTTACTAATGATAAACATGTTAAAAAACAGTTCAACCAAGTCACACTGTACAGAGGAACTTGAAGAGAACAACACTGAAGTGACAGAACACCAGACTGCTCATGGATATGATCCCAGCATGTGTAGCAGCAGCAGTGTTAGTGGCATTTGTGGTCGTTATCACTCCGGTGGTTGTTGCTCCTGCAGTGGTCGTGGCAACAGGAGTAGTCGTGGCACCAGGAGTGGTGGCAACAGGAGTAGTCGTGGCACCAGGAGTGGTCATGGCACCAGCAGTGGTCATGGCACCAGCAGTTGTAACTGCTACAGTGGATGACTGGGCATTTGCTGATGCTATTGATCAAAATATAAAACATCAGTCAACAAAAGTTTCCTTTTTCCATAAACTGCTGCTGTCTGTGAGAAGAACACGTTTTACTCACCAACGATCAGGAGTTGTATCAGGAGGATCAGAAGCATCTTTAATCTCTATAAAGTCTAAAATAAAAAGAAAAGTTTTTTCTTACTAATCAAAAACAAACTTTAAACAGTTCCTAAAAAACACAAAATGATGAAAATTGTGCGGTAAAATTGTTTTCTACTTTCTATAACAGAAAAATATTGTACTTACAAAACTTCTCTGAATTTAATGTCTGTAGCTGCCTTGAGCTTGGAAGATTAACGTCGCTTTCTCTCGCCTCAGTCCAATATCAGCTCACCCTCAGATTTAACTCAACTTCTGAGTTTGTCACAACCTTTATATGGTTGACGGTTGTCATGAAAAATGATGAGGGGAAGTCCTATCCGCACCCATCAGTCACCTCAGTGTAACTAATAGCTGTGTTTATGCATACATTTTATTCTGCTGATCCTAAAGGGATAACAAAGCAAAGATGTTGGTGATGAATTATGGGAGTGGCTGGCACAAAGGATGCACTGTGTTGTGGGCAATTTTAATTTATTTACGTAAAGGCTGCTTTTGTGTCCAACCTGCTCTCCATATTTACTCAGCTATTTTGGTGACAGGTAAGAACCATGTCGCATGATGCCGTCACTTATGGAGCTGTTTCATAGCACAGTCATGTGTCACGACCTCCATCAGTGTGTTTCCATTCCCTTAATTACCTTTAAGATTACAGTTCGTATGCTCATGTGAGGATCTCAGTCCACTTTCTACATTATAATATAACTTTGAGCACTTTAAATGAACTTTGCTGATAACTAACAGCTCGTGGTTGAATTGCTTCATTCTGTTCACTTGCTGATACATCAGCCTCTCACACAACTCTCAGCTCCTGGTTATAACAGAACAAATCCAGATGCAGAACCTCTGAGTCGCCTGAATATAGTCATGGCTTGTGTTATGGCTTACAATTTTTACATATCAGTGAATCTTTGAGTCCAAGTGACAAATGGTCAGAATTTGAAGAAATCCCCCCAAAGAGGACTAGTGATATCATGATCAAGATGCCACAACACATTCATGAGGCCACCATGACCTTGTCCTTTGACCACCCGACCCTAATCAGTCAATCAATGAGTCTAAGTGAACATCTGTGCCACATTTGAAAGCATTCTCTAGAGGCTTTCTTAAGATAACACGTTCACAAGGCAAAAAATAGTTTTTTGAAGTCGCTGTGACCTCGACCTTTGACCATAAAAATCAAATGAGTTACTGATTTGTTTCAACAACTTAATGGGCCAGTGGTTTCAGTGGTTCTCATCTCCCTCAGCAGTAACACGCTCTCAGAGAAAGTAAATGACCACAAGTCTCTCTGAAACATCAGATAAAGTACCTACTGTACATACATGACCACTCAAACTGGTTTTACCAGTTGTAATCACTCCTCCTGTGTATGATGACTCTAATGAGATCCCTTCTCCTGGCAATGTCAGGGCATGTGATGATATCCAGTCAGTGTGTGTAACAATCACATCAGAAACAATGAATACATAAATGAATGAATGTGGTATTGAACGTACAAAACACCAAAGACTTCACATTTGGAAGATAACCGGGTTTATTTGCACTAGTGTATTGGTATTTGTTTTTTTAGTTACTCTTATTTCTATTATTATTTTTATTATTTTTCTGACACTATTACATGTTGAGTTGCTTGAGGTGCCTGGGATTTGAGATTTTCATTGCCAACATGTACGCTGTATCTGTTGTGCAGATGACAAATAAAACCTTTGACCTTGATATCCACTTCATTTGATTTTTATAGATAGATGAGTGTTGACAAAGTGTGAGCCGATAATTGAACAGTTAGGGTGTATACCTCCACATTGTCTGTCAGGAGAAAAAACTGTTTTAGTTCCTTTACCGTGGTGCAATAGGGAGTTTTTAATAATTTTAATTCATCCGTCTTGATGAAAGAAATCAGGCATATTATGAGGCCAAATAAAAATTTAATCTAGGGAATTTAAATGTGGTTTCATAAAGGGACTGTTGGGTCTTAGTGAAGCTGTGTCTTTTCCAGAATTATTATACTTAGTTTGTTTTTAATAAGGATACGCTGATAATAAATAAAAAAATATGTTTTTATAGACTAAGTAAAGTGGATTTTGTTGCGCATCACTTTGTTTTTAGGTGCATTTTAAAAAGGAATGTAAACGCATGGAGCGGGTGGAACAATGACGACAAGCAAAACCTGTTTCTGTGACATGAGCACCTGACTGTTGTTTTATGATAGATTTGAAAAAATGTGAACGTGCCATTACAGTAAAGTGTCAGTGGTGAAGGTAAACAAGAGCAAAGGAGTGACTCGAAGCCAACTTTTAAGAAGCCAACTATTAAAAGACAGTCAAAACATTCTGTGTTTGATTTTCACAAGAATTTAAACTTCCATAAAGTGGGAAAAGGTAACAGAGTGATTGCAAAGAATTAAACAGCTTTTAATTTCAACCTCAAATTTCTAAAACTATTTCCAATTCTCTTATGATAAAGTCAAGATTAAAGCAACAAGCTTCATAGGAATCGTGATTATTATGGATATCAACTGAAAATATTTATTATGATGTCATTTGTAGCCAAATTATCAAGCCCTATTTTAATGTCTGATTAATGGTGTTTTTATATTTCTAGTTATTATCTTCAATTTGTTTTGTTGTTAACTTAAGTGTGTTTGGACGTTGTTTAAAGCACTTTATAAATAAAACATATTTTTATAATCATTATTGTTTGATATTTATCAGTCCATAGTTTACAAATGGAGAGGATTTGTTTGGAGCTACTCTCACCAGACAAAAGGTCATGTGGTGCTTTGCTGACGCCAAGTGAGAATAATTGAGATTTACCAACAGTAAACTGTAGCCTGATCAAGACCGGATCTGTGAGGCAGAACTGAGTTCAGTCAATGTTTATTTTTCAAACAAACACATTTAAATCAGTTGTGCTCTACACTGAATATAAGACTGTGTGACAGCACCTGACTTAACATGAAGAGGGATTTATTCACTATGGTTGTGCTGGAGGTACAGTGCAGCTTCATTAGACCTTTTTAACCTTGTGTGCAGCTTTTCTCAACATCACCCGCTAAGTGTGTAAGTTTGTTTTACAATAAAAATGAAAATGTTATTTAATACAAAATCATGTAAGTGAAGCAAAGTTGATCACATGTGTTGTTTTACTGGCAAAGGGGCTGTTTAATTTAACATAACAGGGCAATAGGGAAATCGGTGATAGTAAAGTTACAATGTAAAAAGACCACACCTATTGAACATGTTACAAGTTAGCTGTTACTCTTTCTTCATCTGTGACTACTTCTTTATTGGTGTGAAAGCTGACACTGCAGTCACGCTATAGTTTTTACCTTTTATTTTTTGGCCAAAGACTTCGTTCACCATCAACTCCTGCAAACTTTACCTGATTTAAAACATTCAGCTTGTCAGAGCATGGTCTTTTTCCAATTCTTCGTACTTTTTGAAATATGCAGCTTTTTCTCCTATTTCTGGCTTTTGGAGAGGTGACCTCACGCAAAGCATTTCAGCAGCTCAGCACACACACTGCATTGTCCACAAGAAATGCATTTCAAAAACCTTTCTCGTCTTATTGTGAGAATAAATCCTCTTAGAGAAACATGTCTGATAGTGTTGGTTGTATTTCAGACATCAGATATGAGACATTTAGACAAAAAGCTGAACAGATGCATTTTTATTTTTATTAGACTTTAGGTCAAATCTTTGTCGGTGTTCTTTTGTCCCTTGGCTTTGACGTTCTGCTTCTGTGTCTTCTGCAGCAGAGCCAGCGTGTCTCTCTTCTCGATTTTTCTGAGTTGCTTCTTCTTCATCCTCTTGATCTTTGCTGTGTTCCGGATCTGTGACACAGACAATAAACAGGTGGCGAGATTAGTCAAAGTTGACCCAACAGTGGTAATGTATGATATGGAAGAGATGATGCACTCATACACATTGTTTCAATATTAACTTTCAGAGCCGCATTATTAAATAATTATTACCTCCTCCTCATGTTTACATTGTTGTCTGTCTGTTAACGGGATTACACAAAAACTTCTGAGCAGATTTTTTATGAAACTTGGTGTTAGGGGCAGGGCATGAGCCAGTGGATTTGATGAAAGGGGTGGATTGTGATTGTTTTCCCCACTTTCTTTGACATTGTGAGATGTCAACATTTTCGTAAATTTCTCCAGTAATAATGCAGAGATCTTGATGAAAAAATAGTCACCTCTAGAGTGCTAATATATATGAACAGGGGAGATTTGGTGCAGATCTGGATTTTGTGAAAGTGTATTTGTTTGATAGGTAGGAGAGGGTCTCCAACAACGTTTCACCATTGGACTGAACAGCATGAGCATGAACAACAGTTGACGTACCACTTGCACAATCTCTGCTTTGCGTTCATTCTCCGTGCGTCGTTTTAAGTTGTCTTCTCTCCTTTTCCTCTTTTCCTGATAAGACCGAAGGGAAAAACAGAATAAGTCACAAGGTTTCACGTTAATGGTCAGTCAGAAGTGCATCACAGATTTAGCTCACCTCCTTCTGTTTGGCTTTGTCCTCTTTGAGCTGCAAAGTAAACTGTTTCACCAGGTCCTTCTCTCGCTTGGCCTGCATCTTCTTCTCCCAAGAGGAGCACAGCGGCTTGTCTCTGACCAACGCAGAGAACCTGAAGGCAACACAACAATTAAAATCACATTTACCATTTTAACTGCTGCAAGAGCTTTTCTGGGTTTCACTGGCCAGTCAGTACAGTGACAGTAATACATTGTACATTACCTTTAGAATAAACATGTTTTGAATTTGATTTCAACCACTCGTGTTACTTTTCCACAAACTGCCTGACATGCACTTTACATGAATACAATATAGAAAACCTCTGTCCAGATATTTATAAGTAGTTATTGATCTGTGCTGTTTTCAGCACCAATCAATGATTCATATATAAGCAGCAGTTTATATTTGATTATTGTCTTTACTATTACTGGGTGTATTGTATGCATGTTTTGATCGATTGATTGATTGATTAATTATTTGCCTATTATTCGACTACAACCTTAAAAGGTGTAAATGCTCCAATAACCAGAAAGGTTTCATCACAATCCTCAAACCAAAATTAGAAAAACACATGAAGTAAAATGAATCCAGGGTTCTCTTCACCTCTGTTTGCTGCGGTCCTTCCAAACTCTTCCAGATTTGGGTTTTCCAAGCGGAATGACCGGATTCTGTTTCCCACTCGGGGCCAGACGGGCTTTCTTCTTGGGGACGGTCTCTGGGCTGGCGGGGACCGTCTCCGCTGCTGCTGCAGGCCTGGGAACATGTGCAACTTCTCCGGCTGGTTCTGCCCCGGTGCAGGGCTCTGGTTCAGCGGACACGTCGGACATCTCTTCGGGCACAGTCTCGGGTTTGTGCTCAGGCTCCCCCGTGTTTGTCTCCTCCACCGCCGGCAGCTCCTGGAGCACTGTCCTCCTGGTTCTCCTGCTGGGAGTCCTCAGCGGCTCCTCAGAGTCCAGCAGTGCGGCAGGAGTGCGCACTCTGCGGCCGCTGCGTGTGCGTCTGGTCTCCGGCGGCGGTTCCTGGACCTCCTCCTCCTCCTCCATGTGTGCGGCTTCAGGGACAGGTCTCTGCCTCCTCGACATGTTTCTAATGAAGTTGACAACAACACATCACACTCACAAACTTCTGGACCCACGTGTGACCACAGCCTGCGATGTGTTCGCTGCTCTGCTTCCGAGTCACGACGGATAGTAAACAACGCGCGGAGCTCACTATTGCCCCTGCAGGTCTGGAGAAGAAGCACACGTTTTAAATGACACTCATCCAACTCAGCCCTGATCTTCTTATATTGTGAAGAAAAATATAAGAATAAGAATAAGAATAATATTATAGATTACACTCATCTAGGTGACACAAAATACAAATGTCTCTCGTCTGCAGTTTTCAATATCTGATTGAAGTGCAATGTTGTTTACACTGTTCATTTTTACATTATAAATAGAATTATTTGCAATCCCTCTGTGGCTGTAACATAAAAACAAATCTCTGTAGTGGGACTGATAAAGAATTAACTGATCTTTCTTTATCTTAAATGTATTAGTCTGTGCTTTATCTTTAATTTATTTGTCTTTTTTAAGCTTTTTTTATTTTAACATCAACAGTTATTACATCCTTATATTACTGGGAGAAAATGTATTTTTTATGCAAAGTTTATAAACATGTATATATAATTTGGACCTATTACATATTAAATCTATTTTAAACTTTGGGGACATGTTCATGTTTACAGTTGGAGCATTTAGTGCATCTTTAAATCTCACAGATTCAAGCGTCTCTTTCATTTATTTATTTTCTTTAGCAGGTTCATATGTTTCCGACAATATATAATACATACTATAACACATGTGATATAACGACTGTATAAAAGGCAGTACTTTATTTTTTGTGATCTATTTTTTTCTTAATGGAGAAAATATGAAAATAAACACAAATTCACATGCACAGAATTGACAAAATAATACAAATAAAGGGAAAAAATACAACGCTCCATTTAAGTCTATGGCAGCTACAATCTGTGCAACAGTGACACCTACTAGAAGCCGTTTCTGCACCACAGCCGTAAATCCGCATCACATGACTTTACTTCCGCATCTCGTGACCATGATATGTGTTGGAGCAATCCTGCAGCTCATCGTTTGAACGAAACCTGGGATTTGCTTTTTTAACTTTGCTCCTCAGACGTGAGATCAGGTGAAGAACCATCATGTCTGTGCTCAGAGCTGGAAACTCGCTGCTGCTGCTGATAATGATGATGATGATGATGTTTGGACCATCGGTGAGTCGCTTTGACTTTTTATCTTCACTTCTCTGCAGCAGATGTTTAAAAGTCTAAGGAGACGTTATTATTTTATCTGTCAATGCCTTTGCTTGCCTTCATGCAACCCATGAAAAAGATTTACAGAAACGATGTTTGACGACTGTTTTAGCAGCAAATGTTCTGACAATTCATCTTTCACTTTATATATCAACATCTCACACCCAATATACATATGAGCAATTTAGGAAAATAATATGTTTATTGACTAAAGTAACTCAAACATGCTCACGGAATGATTTTAAACTGTAGGTGTGAACATTTGATGGTAAAACTGGTCAAATGATGAGACTTTTTTAAACTGGAAGTGTATTTCTTTATGTAGCTACATCATGTGCTCAATTAAACAAAGTGCTACACCTCTGGCGTCACGTTCCAGGAAGTTACCAACTAGTACAACTATAACATAAGAGGTCAAACAGAACCTGAATCAAACTATATGCAGCTATCGTTTGTTTTGTGTTGTGTATTTTATCCATTTGTATTCTTGTTGTGCAGTACTTTCTACTTTGTGTTGAAAAGTGCTTTATAATTGACATTATTATTAGTTGTAGTGATAGTAGTGGTAGTAGGAGAAGTATTGTTAGTAGTAGTATTAGTAATTACAAAAAGCTGGTATATACAATGAAAACAGTTTCCGTTGACATTGACACATGGTGTGACTGTGAGGCTAATTTCTCTTTGTTGACAGCTCTGTCAGATCCTGAAGAATCAATGCTGTGCACATGTTTTTAAGAGCTCCTCCATTATACATAGTTCAAGTATCAGTCAAGTCAAGTCAGTTCCAGACCGACCGAAAAATACACAACACAATACAAAATAAACTGTATGGGAGTTAATTATACTTTCTGATGCAGTTGCTTTTCACCTGCCGGTCAAACTCTTCAGTAAATGTGTTATTAACTTTACTACATTGTCCATTGATCAGGCTGTGAAACTATAAATTTTTTTTTCACGTGTTTGTCTATTTCACAGCCTTTAGTAGAAACCATGTTTAAGTGTCACTTCCTAAAATCAGCTGAGGCATAGAACAAAAAATGCCCGAAAAAAAAAAGAAACTTTGCTCACTTAACTAAACGCTCTATAAACGGACAAGATTACACATTATCTCTCTCTAGAATACCTTTAAATGCAGTTTTGAGTCATGTTGTGTTTACGTGCAGCTCAGCGCCCCTCGGTCGTTCAGTATCGATTACAAGAACGACTGCTTTCGGAAAGATGGGGAAGAGTTTCGTTACATATCGGGAGGTATCCACTACTACAGGATTCCTAGAGTCTACTGGAAAGATCGGCTGCTCAAGATGTACATGGCGGGGCTGAATGCTGTCCAGACGTAGGTTTGCCTCAACTGGTTTGTGGTTTGTTGGGATGATGTCATCTTGTAACTGACTTCCATAAAAAAGACAAGGCAGTGTAAATTACAGACGGACTTCTTCAATTAGCATAAGCGATTAAATGACAAATTCAACCCCCAATGGTCGCTCAAGATCAGCAGCAGACTTTGTAAGATTGCGAATCACATTACTTTCAAATCCTTGCAACCAAATTCTAGAGCAGCCCATGGATATGGACACTGTGCAGGGTCCTACTATTGTTATTGTTTGTTTTTGACATAAAACCTGGACTGTCAGGAAACCAATGTTGGTATGAAGTGGATTACTGCATTACGTTGCTTTGTACTTGTGCAATGACAATAAAGTTGAATCTAATCTAATCTAATTATTCTGTTGAAATCGTATTTTGTTATTAACACATGGTTGAATAAAGAGCATTGAGTTGATTAATGATGCAGGGAGTTACTGCATTCAGTGTTTAGTGTTTAATCCACGATAACACTGACACACTGTTTCTTTTAAAGGTACATTCCGTGGAACTTCCACGAGGAGTCTCCAGGTCAGTACAATTTCAACGGAGACAGGGATTTATCACATTTCGTTCAGGTGGCGCAGGACGTTGGTCTATTGGTGATCCTCCGGGTAGGACCGTACATATGTACAGAGTGGGACATGGTGGGTGAAGCTGCAGTTAAATAATATTCTCTGTGTTTAAGGTCGTTCAAAGTCAGTTTAGAACTTGTAGACATTTAGTTCAAGCACATATCTTCCCCAAAGCCTAAAAATGTTGGTGCGGATCCAGGAATGTTTTTCCACTTTTGAAAAACATTCCTGGATCTGCACCAGGATTTCTTGGCAGAGAGAATTAAAAAAAACAGTAAAACATTGATTTATATTATTGGTGCTGAATTATCATGTAAATGAGATCAAAGTCAATTAAATTTCAATTTGAGAAAGATGAGTGTAAAGAAATAAATTCATCATAGAGCTCAGTTATTTTTGTCAAATAACCCCAAACTCAAATAGCGATAAATTTTATATAAATTGTACATAATGTTATTACTGACAGGTCTGTATATTTTCTTGTGTGACTTAGATTCTGTTGTATTTAGACGAAGTGTTAATGCCATTTCCTGTCATTGTTTGTGTGATTCTGTGGAACAGGGTGGGCTGCCGGCCTGGCTTCTCAAGAAGAAAGACATTGTGCTGCGGACTTCAGATCCAGGTGAGAATCAAAGCGAAGCAGGATGAGTGGTGATGGGGTTTACCTGCCTCAGTGTGAACAACACTGTGTTCTGTGTTGGTTCAGATTACATCGCAGCAGTAGACCGGTGGATGGGGAAGTTACTGCCATTGATGAAACCTTTTCTGTATCAGAACGGTGGTCCCATCATCTCTGTGCAGGTGAGTGAGGGGTATTCAGGGCAGTATTTTATTCAGTAGAGAACGTATAAAGATGGACGACATGATGGCTCCTCCAAAGTGAAGCCATTGCCTCATAGGTCATAAACCCAGCCTCCTCCATGTTAGTGGATGGTACAGGGACCAAACTAAAAAGTCAAAGTACATGTTAAATAGGGTCATTTTAGATAGTTGTTATCACAAGTATTCATTGTTCTAAAAAGTCTCTTTCTAATTAGTATAAGTAAATAAATAGTGGGTGTGACGTTGTGATTGACAGCTCAGACGGACTCATGATTTGTTGATAGGGTGTATCGGAACCATGGCTCCATGACCCGAACACTACTGCACAGACTCTGACTCCAAATGAGCAACATGGCAGCTTCATTCCTGGGTAATGGGAGAAATGGAGATGTGTCGTCCATCATTTTTTTTCACGCATTAGTTCTGTTCAATTTCCCAAACAAATTTGATACAAAGCCATGAAGTAAGAAGGTAACTGAAAAATAAAACAAATATATTTATGCATACAAACAGTTTCTGGTAAAGAGCAGTACGTCTCTCCTGATGTGCGCTTGTTTCGTAGGTGGAGAACGAATATGGCAGTTACTACGCTTGTGATTTCAACTACCTGCGTCACCTGACCAAGCTGTTCCGCTTCCACCTGGGCAACGAGGTGGTGCTCTTCTCCACGGATGGAAATGGAGTCAGCTATTTGAAATGTGGCACAATACAAGAACTCTATGCCACTGTTGACTTTGGGCCTGGTACGTGTCAGGAACTCTGTTCTGCTAGAAATCTCCCTTTGACAAATGCTTTTCATATGTGGTCAGTGCTCTGCCATTTATGGCAAATACCACAACACATCTTAGACAAATCATAAAAAAAGACAAACTTTAAATTATTCCATGTTAGTCTTTGTTTTAGTAAGATAACTGTGACTTTGTATGTTTGCTGTCCTGAGTTAAGGTTTAATTGTGCACGCAACGTGAAATGAGATACATAATAAATTGTTTTAAAGGGTTTCATTGTTGTTTTTCCTACATTGACTAATTTTTACATTTTATATGAGTCAGACTTCATGAGGAAGTTGCATGAACACGTGTTTGTCTTTGTTTTTTCTAGGTGCAAATGTAACTGCATCCTTTGAGGCACAGAGATACGCTGAACCTCATGGACCTTTGGTAACCTATTTATCTCGGTACATGTTGTAATCTCTGGTTTTAACAACACACATAAATGCTTACGGGGTTTCTTTTCCTTTCTCAGGTGAACTCTGAGTTTTACACCGGCTGGCTGGACCACTGGGGATCCCCTCACTCTGTCATCGCGACTGCCCAAGTGGTCAAGTACCTGAACCAGATTCTGGCCACTGGAGCAAACGTCAACATGTGAGTCAGTTCTCATGATCAGTTATGAATATAAACCTCTCACCATATCCTGTTATCAGCAGATCTATGCTTGGTTCTTTTAGGCTGCTACAAAACAGATAAGTAAGAGTCTAAAACATCTTATATATGGAAAGAGTTGCAGATTTAAAACATCCCTCCAGTAGTATAAGATTTCCTGGTATTTTAATGCCCCTGCACCGGTGCACCTCACAAACCCTTTTAGCTTCATGAACATGTTATTTTAAGAAGAAGAGAATTCTTTCAAATTTGTGTTTTGGTAACATGTCTCTTTATATGTAAATCTCTATATATAAATGTTTTAGAAGAATTTGTGAAATTACAGAAAATATAAACAAGACAAAGAACCTGTGTCCCTGGTTTTTAGTTGTTGATTAACTGTGTCCTCTCACAGGTACATGTTCATAGGTGGAACAACTTTCGGATTCTGGAATGGTGAGTTTCAACTGCACAGACTGGTCTGATTAGTAGTGACTCACACAAACAGCTTTTGTGTCTCTCATCCTCTAACTGCCTCTCAACGCCCTTAGGTGCCAACACTCCATACGCCCCACAGCCCACAAGCTACGACTTCAATGCCCCGCTCTCAGAGGCAGGAGACCTCACGGACAAGTACTATGCCATCCGAGAGGTCATCAGCATGGTACGTTCACTAGAGCAGTGCTGCACGTTTGTGACCTTAACGTGAAAAAGCAGACAGTATAAAACATGTGACCTACTTAAATCATGTGTTTGAGCTGACATAACGTGTGCTCCCACAATAGTACCGGAAGATACCAGACGGACCGATTCCACCAACAACCCCAAAGTATGCATACGGTGCTGTTAAAATGAGAAAGGTAGGTGCCCCCCTGACAGTCTGTGTTTTAAGTTATTAGACTCGTTTGATAAATTCCATTTTGTTTATTTTAATTCACCACATTTTTAAAAACCATCAAGAACAGATAATAATCAGCAAGCGTCTCTCCCACTGCAGCTCCAGACGATCTTAGATACAGTAGAAATACTGTCTGTCTCCGGCCCGGTCAAAAGCATGTATCCTCTGACGTTCCTCGACCTGCACCAGGTATCTTTTAATGCTTTTTCTTTTCATGTGAACCGCTTCTAATAATAATTTATCATTTATTAATCTGTTTACATATTCTCTGCTCTGTCCTTTCAGGCTTTTGGATTTGTGCTGTACAGGACCACTCTGCCTGTCGCCTGCAACACATCCACTCCACTGTCGTCCCCTCTGAACGGAGTCCATGACCGAGCGTACGTGTCCATCGATGGGGTTAGTGGCTCTGCCTTTACTCTGTAGTTGAACTCACGTGCACAAACAAAGACACACACATAGAAAATGCTTTACAGAAAAAGTTATAAAAACAAAGTGAATATAAAGGTCGTGCTGATCTCCTCTCCAGGTGGCCGTTGGGATCCTGGAAAGGAACAAAGTCTTGAGCATCAATGTGACTGGGAAGGCTGGAAGTCAGCTGGACGTACTGGTGGAGAACTTAGGTCGAATCAACTATGGAAAGGACATCAATGACTTCAAGGTTGTTGTTTTTTTGTCACATACTTCACAACCGAAAAATGGTTTTATACTTTGATTTTTATATTTTTCTGTGATGTAAAAAGTATTCTAAGATGTAGGTTTGAAGTACAAGTACAAGTATAAGAATGAATGGGTCATTTCTCTTCTCCTCACAGGGGTTGGTGACCAACTTGACTCTTGGGAAGAACATCCTCACTGGTTGGACCATGTACAGTCTCAGTATAAATGATGCAATCAAACAGGGCCTCATCCAGGAAAAAGAGCCCACACTATCACCCCCCCCTCCGCCTGCTGCTCTCTCCCTTCCAGCCTTTTACCGGGGGAGCTTCATCATCCCTGACGGTGTCCCAGACCTCCCCCAGGACACCTACATCAAACTGCCCAAATGGAGAAAGGTAATGTCCCAGGGTGTAAGAACCTTCCAGATGAATCATTTAAAGTTACAAAGAAATATCTTCTGGATCTAGATTCTCAAATGAAAACTGACTCAATGCAGGTGTTTGATCTCAGCTCACACGATCTACATATATTTGAAAAGAAATCAAGACCTACCTAAATGCATTTAAGACATAATATTTTTTATATATTTAAGACTTTTTAAGACCTGAAATTCAGACAATTGAATTTTAGACTCTTTGAGATCTTTTAAGACCCTGCTACTGAGGCTTTTAGTGTAGCCCCCAGTTTAAATAAAAGCCAAATGCGTACATTTAACGTCAATGTAAATGTTTATTCATCTTAATGTATTCTTAGAACACATGCATGTAAAGCAATGAATACATCTTTTCATATAATTGTGTGTTTTTTCAGGGCCAGATCTGGATTAATGACTTCAATCTGGGACGTTATTGGCCAGATCGAGGCCCCCAGGTGACGCTTTTTGTCCCGGCCAGCCTCCTCAGCACGGCTGCCCCCAACAACGTGACTGTCCTGGAGCTGGAGGGGGATCCTTGCAGCTCGGGGCCGTGCACTGTGGAGTTCACTGACACACCAATCCTAAATGCAACAGTCCCCGCTCACTACAAGCAGCGCTGGGGCCTGTTTACTCGAGAGGATTTGTTGGATTGATGAGGCAAACTGAATCAGTTTGCTCTACTTACTGATGAACAAGCCTGAATCAGGACGTGTGAGTTTGATACTAATGGGATTTTATTTCTTTTTATTTCTTTTTATCTTCACAAAGGGATTATTGCCAATCAAAGAAAAGCCAACACACAGCAACCTGTGTTTCAGAGAACATTTTATTTTTTTATGTGGAAAGCAAATCAGGGAAATATTCTGTGTATTATCATGAAACATTGTTGGACTACTGTTTTTGATTTATTTGATTTTTCTTACAACCTGTCTGATTTAAGAAAATAAAAATCAAAAAGTATTTTATGATGCTTCAATGACCCTCCTCTTTTTTAAACAAGGTGCTATCAGTCTGTGGGTGCTGTGTTTAAGATATATAAAATATATTTTATATAACTTGATAAAGTTAGATTTCACTTGTAAAGAGGGACTCTAAGGATTTTATTTTGTGACTAAACTTTGGCAGGTTTAGGAAATAAAACAAATGAGGAATAAGATTAATCAGAGTGACACTCACAAAGTCTCTTGACAAGATGAATCGCTAATAAATATATTAATGGTGTGTTTTCTGTTATGTCTGTTGTGTAGGAAGAAAACAATAACTGAAGCGTATTGAGTGAGCAAGTGGCAGCAATGCTCCTAATATTTAATCTATGAGGGACATGTTTGTAGCAATAAACATAATGGACACATTACAGACTTAATGGATGTCTGAAAAAAATATATTTGATATTCGATGTTGATGTAATACACAATGGTCAATCACGACAGTGTTGCAGGAGAGCAATGCTGAATCTACACGTTGATGTTGTAATACAGGTACAGAATGTGAAAACCTCTGCATTGACTGAGAGTAAATCAGTTTATTGTAAAAATTTCAAGAAATAATGGAAAAGGTTTTCATTGTCTGGGCATGCATAATAAAAGAAACAAACTCTCATGTATACTGTATGGGCTGCTTGTGTAGCGATTTCAATTTTAGGATTTGATCAAGAATAGTATGATGGTTTTTTCAATTTGCTGTAAATGTTTTCTCCTAGTGACGGTCTATTAACTTGGTAGCAGTGTTGAGAACATGATTAATTTATTGCCATACTAAAATGACTGTTTCAGTGCTTTGCAAAATATATGGGAATAAAAACAAAACAAGAACGAACTTATATAACAAAGATAATGCAAAAGAAAATATATTAATGTAAAAATATATAAGTATGGACAGGTAAAAGTGTAAAAGCAAAGAAATAAAATAGGATATAAAAATAGGTCAATATTCTGTTGACATCTGGGGGAACCACACTGTACCAGCAGGTGGCGGTCATGAGAATAACGGGCGGGCTGCCAACCGTCAATCAAACCGAGAAGAAGAGTGAAACTTAGTAACAGTGAGAAAGGGGCTGAAGCTGAAGCTAACAGGACAATATACCCGACACACGCTAATGTCCGGACACTTTGTCCAGCGATGAGGTAAAATAAAGACCCTGAATTAAAATACTTCGTGTTTATTTCTCGGCTAAATGGTTGAGTAGTCACGTAGCCAGCTGCGGCTAACTGAGGCTAGCTAGTAAGATGCTAACGTTGTCATGGACGAGGAAGTGATGTTTGTTGTTATTAGCTGAATGAAACAGTTATAACATTATCAAATGACTTAAAGTACTTTAGTGTGGTCTGTTGTGTGTTGGTAAAGTTAATAAGAGGTCAACAGCGTTATACTGGAGCATGTGTGTCTACATGAGCTAAACGCCTGTGTGTGTGTGTGTGTGTGTGTGTGTGTGTGTGTGTGTGTGTGTGTGTGTGTGTGTGTGTGTGTGTGTGTGTTCTCTCTGCAGGTCGTGAGCTCCTTTGTTTGGGACAGCACCTAGTGGAAACATGTCCGGATGCAGAGACACTGTCTTAATGTTAACAGACATGTCGTGGTGCCAACACACCAAGAGGAAATATCATTTCTAACACCACCCAGGCTTCTTCGCTAAAGCCAATTGTTTTTTGATTGATCACCGATCGGTTCCTTGCTATAGACAAGAAGCTCAGAACGAGCTGTTGATTTGCCTGGAGATCATGGTAGATAATCGATATGCCACCGCTCTGGTGATCGGCTCGGTGCTGAGCCTGCTGGCCACAGTGTACCTGTCTGTGGCTGTGGGGACTCAGCAGTGGTACCAGTACAGCAGTCCACCAGAAGGCGTCAACGTCTCAGTGCTCAGAGCTGAGTTCATCAATTCAGAGTGCGACGAGCAAATCTACAGCAAAACCATTTTCCAGCTGAACGGCACCCTGGGACTGTGGTGGAGGTGCATTCTGGTGCCCAGCCAGTCTCACTGGTATAAACTACCGGGTAAGATTTACTGTTTAAAAGAGATTAATGGATTCATAAATACTTTATCCTCAATCATATAGACCCTATGAGCTGTAAATACAAGGTCATGTTGTGCTGACAATCATTCCTCTCTACCACAGTATTTTATTTGAAAGATCAGAAAATTACTAAGGACACTAAGTATGTCTGGCTGAATTAAGCCATTTTCGAACTCCAGAAAATTGGACGCTGACATTTTCCAGTGTTAATATCTTCCACATTTAAAGAGATAATTTGTCAGAAGTTTGTCAGACAAATTATTTGAAGACACTTTAAACTCTGTGAAGATTATGATTGTAATGTTTTCGCATATGAAGTTCTTTTGGATTTATGATCTCTGTCTTTAGATCCCAAGATGGAGACCCTGTGTGTGAGCTTCACTCTTTCTCAGCAGTTTATTTCAAAGTACAAAAACAGCGAAGAAGATCTGCTGAGGACATGTAAGTCTGCCCTACACCAGACTTAAAGGCGAACACTTGCTCTGTTTCCTCCCTTTATTGTCTTTAAGGATCTTTGGCGATCTTAGATGATGTTTTTGACCGTAGGTACATTAACCTTGTTATCGCTGTCTGTCTGTGCAGATCTCTGGAGATGTCAGTTTCTCCTGCCTTTGGTGTCCCTGGCCTTGGTTTTCCTCAGTGGCCTTGTTGGATTCTGCGCCTGTCTGTGCCGCAGCTTCACCCCTACGTTTGGAGTGGGAGTGCTCCATCTCCTCGCAGGTGAGTCAGAGAAATGCTGCATATTATAAACCTGGATTCAAACCATAAACTAGCATTGATTCAGATGTTTTGTCCTGATGTTCAACCCAGTTTCAGCAGTTGTATAAACAAGTCAAGACAAATTTAGGCAAAGAGCAGAGGATTATGCAAACGTCAGTCATCACAATGTGCTGTCAGTCCAGCAGACTTCCTTACAAACATACAGTTAAGGAAATAATTATTTGATCACTTGCTGACACAGGCTGTTGCTTGGCAACTCGAACCTTCAGCTCCCTCCACAGATTTTCTATGGGATTAAGGTCCGGAGACTGGCTATAGGCCTATCCATGACAGTAATGTGCTTCTTCTTGAGCCACCCTTTGTTGCCTTAGCCGTATGTTTTGGGTCATTGTCGTGGTGGAAGACCCAGCCATGACCCATTTTCAGTGTCCTGGCTGAGGGAAGGAGGTTGTCGCCCAAGATGTCCCGGTACATGGCCCTGTCCGTCAGGTGAAGTAGTCTTGTCCCCTTAGCAGAGAAACACCCCCAAAGCATAATGTTTCCACCTCCATGCTTGACGGTTGGGATGGTGTTCTTGGGGTTATAGTCAGCATTTCTCTTCCTCCAAACATAGCAAGTTGAGTTGATACCAAAGAGCTGGATTTTGGTCTCATCTGGCCACACCACCTTCCCCCAAGCCTTCTCTGAATCATTCAGGTGTTCATTGGCAAACCTCAGACGGGCCTGTACATGTGCCTTCATGAGCAGGGGGACCTTTTTAAAAAAAATTCTGTCTCTCACTTTTACAATAAATCTACAATAAATTACAATTATAGACTGTTCATTTCTTTGTCAGTGGGCAAACTCAGTGGGCAAGCGATCAAATAATTATTTCCTTCACTGTATAGTACTGTGTAAGATCTTTTTGTTTGACCCTGCTTGTAGTAAATATTCAATTAGTCTGTAACTAAGGGCCCCTTGGAGTGCTCACTCCTCTGCCAATGCTAATGCCCTATCGGCATGTTTAAGAAAGTGAAATTTCATACTAGTTCAGTTCCCCAAATGTGCCCAAAACGTTTTATCATGAATTATTATATGATGAAAAAAAGGAAAATGGTTCCTGGATCAGCCCCCTGACCCGGATCCGCCCCAAAATTATATGGGTTTTTTGGGACTCATTCCACTTCCTTTCACCAGGTTTTAGCCGAAATCTATAAAAAATTGTATCCAATTGTGCTTAAACAAACAAATAAGCAAATTTACAAACAAATAGTCAGGGCTGAAAACCTCCTTGGTTAAGGTTGTCATGCAGTTTCTTCTTCAACTCAAACAGGTCTGGGCTCCCTGGGCTCCGTCTGCTGTTTCTTGGTGGGGGTGGATCTGCTCCACCAGTACACCACGCCACCAGAGGGAGTAGAGGGCTCGATGGGCTGGTCCCTCTACCTCGCCCTCATCTCCTTCCCTCTTCAGATGATGGCAGCTGCTTTGTTCCTCTGGGCGGCGAGGAGTCACCGCAAGACCTACACCCGCATGACGGCATACAGGGTCGCATAAAGAAAGGAGAGACTACTCTAACAGAAGTACCTTAACACAACCTCCTGTCTGAGGACGTCATTACACATCTTTTGTCTATGGGAAAAGATGTTATTCAAAAGAATTGACATATTCTTATGGATCTAAAGTAAACCAGACCACTAATCATCATAAGTGGTTATTCTTTGAGTTGTGTTTTCTCACCTTTGTTTTGACCCAAAGCATGCACTGTGTATTTTAAAACCCAGATGTTAAAGAACATCAGTTGTTTCTGGTGTTGTTGCCGTGCCGTACTTTATTGCCTTCTTTTCAGTTGCCATTGCTTTTTACGCTGCTCACCACATTGCTCTTATATCAGCAATAAATACTATTACATGCACTGTGACAAATAACTCACCTGTAGTTAAAGGTCCAGTGTGTAAGATTTAGATGAAAGGATCTATTGGCAGATATTTAATGTAGAATAATCCTCATGATGTTTTCACTAGTTTGTTTCATGTAAATTGTATGAATTGTAGTTTTCTTTACCCCAGAAAAGACCCTTTATATTCAAATACTTTATATTTACATTGAGGGGACCCTCTCTACGCAGGCTGCCATGTTTTTTACATTAGTCCAGACTGAACAAACTAAACACCTTTTAAGTTTTTATGACAATTAAAGGCTCCCACAGTTTATTTTCATGTTTGGAAGGAGAGGGTGAGGTGAGGGGTATTCAGCTGCAACATGCAATTTCAACACTAGATCTCACTAAATTCTACACACTGTAACTCTAAATAAGTCAGGATATCTTTCTCTAATAGTGCATGAAAAATATTACCCAAGACTTAAATTTTTTTCTATTTCTGATGGTTTTTGTTCTGTTCTAATTTTACGTTGTGTTAAATATGGAGCCTTTGCTGTGCATGCCTTTTAAAGCTGACATTTCCAGCATCTGTGGTAATTGTTGATTTCTGTCTGTGGTATGCGTCAACTAAATGTCAGTAAATGTCACACACTAAAAATTTAACCACTCATCCTCCATTGTCGGCCGTGTTTATAGATCTAATATTTATTAAGTTGGTTAACGTTTTGAAAGATTAGAATTAAATTGATGCCACTCAAGAAAAGAATTCAAACTGTGATACTTTGTAACATTTAGATTTTAATGTTTCAGCCCCAAACTGAACTGCTGCCATTTGTACATTTGTATTGATGGAGTGTCTCTGTCTGTTGGTTCCACACACTCTGTCCTTGTAGATCTCAGTTTCAGCCGTTACTTGACTTTTAAAAGTCTAAAACTTTATTGGTGAGAGATCAGAGTCATAAAGACTTTGAACAGCTGCAGTAATCTTCATTTGCAAGTGTGAATCCTCTTTATACTCACAGATGTGTGTGTGTGGAATTGAACAAATTAACTTTGTTTTTTGTGAGTCAAATTTCAAAACAACTCATGTACCAGCAGCAGAAGACAAATTGTAATGTTTTTGTATCACAGTGTTGTTACACATCTGATGTGTACACACTCTGGCTTTTGTAAATGTTTTTATGTATTCTGATGCACACTGTACTTGTTTCTGTATTAATAAATTTGACATTTGTTGACTTAGTTATACTAATTACCATTTATTATTGTTGTTATAGAAAACTAGAATGACACTCAGTAGAGTCTATACGTCACAAAATGCACAAAATCATTTTTATCAGTCTCCTAAATGTGCCAGATTTCTTTTTTAACATAAATCCATTTTTGGTTCTCTGAGGTAATGGGGAAATGTTGAAAAATCTTGGAGTCCCTTGGTCCAGAGTTAGCCCAAAATTGAATGGGTTCTTCCACATTTCTGTCTGTTGAAAAAACTCAAAACACAACAACTGTTTGAAATGATCCATGTTTCTTTTTATTCATTTGAATTAAGGCCACTTAGCAAAATAAATCAAATCTGTTTCCTGAGAATAATTCTAACTAATCTATGTTCAGGCAATACATTATTGTCACTAGTACATATAATTTATGAATAGAGTAACTCTTTATCTTTAATGAATCTTTGGAGACAATTAAAAACATTATCGTACAGGTGGTGTTTGTGTTTGAATTCAAATGAATCCACCATTTACATTCTTTACAGTATCTGTCTCGTTCTGTCTCTGCTCTCAGACCGTCTTCACACTTATGGACGGGATGGTCCGAGTGATCTTGCGACCTAAACAGAAAGCTGTGTTCTTCTCGTAGTAGGCACATTCGTTGATAAAGAACGGGTAGAGTTCCTCCCCTTCGTGCCTCACTGTCTCCCCTGCAAATGACAGGAAAATGGGGTCGCCAGGTCGCAGAAGCTTGAAGTCATTATCCTGGAGGAAAACAGGCAGCATGAACAGTGTGAGTCATTATGCACCATGGCAGCTTTATGATGCAAATATGGCATTTAACGTCAAACAGGGTTCATCACTTCATGGATTTTAGTGTGTAAACCGTGCAAGTGAAAAGAGCAGCACTGTTTTAATAATAATAATAATAATAAAACGTTAAGGAAATTTGCTTTTTTCCAAAAGTTGAATAAGAAGTTTGACATAACTCATGTGTGTTTTGTTTCGAAAGAAAACTGAAAACGTTTCCGTTCACAGGTAATGAAATCCACCTTCCAGCACCTGTAAATCCTTCCAGTGAACACATGCTGACGCTAAGGATGTCTCTGAGGAGAGCTCATACCTCCACCAAGGCCCAACCGTCCCCTCAAACACAATCAGAGATATCAGTCCACACAATATGCCTGGTTATTTTGTTCAAGATCCATGAATGATTCCCTGGGAAATTGAAGAATGATAAACTCCTGGATTGATGGGTTCTTTCTTGGTCCATGTCCCATCCTTCCACCAGTTTACCAACAAACCAACGAACAGAGCCTCCTTGACAGAGGTAACATTTTGTAGTTTTACTTTCTTTTTAAAGTCCCTACAGTGACAACAAGATTCAACAACTGACTTTGGCTTCATATTTCTCGTCCTGACACGAGACTGGTTTTAATCCTTTCATCTAACTCTTGGAAAGACAGCAAATATGCATATTACCCAAACTGTCATGGTGACAGCTCATGAGTGCACACATTCTCCCCAGATGACCTGTACCTGCAGCTGCGGGTGGATGGCAGCAGTGATCTCACTGGTCGTAGGATCCCTTGGGTAGTCAATTTCCTTCATGTCAGCATATAGCTCTACTTCACCTCCTTCGAAAGTGCTCCCTGTTGGCAAAGGACTGTATTAGTAAGGATGAGTCAGGTTGGTGTAGTCCAGAAGGCTCATTTAAACAGAGGCAGATAAAGAGGCAGGGCTAGGGGGCACTGGCCCTCTGTGAAATCTTCATATGTGAAAGCCTCATTTTCTGGGTTTGCATCTGAAAACCTTTGTTTGAATTTATGCATGTGTGTGTGTGCGTCAGCCCGTTAAACGTCAGTGTTTGTTTCCTACCAGAGTTGAATTGCTGCAGCCATTCTATAGTGAGGTCCACTGCCTTTTTCATCGTGTTAAAGATGTCTGCTCTGAGGACACCGTTGGGTTGAGGACCCATCTCGATTGCTGAAGAGATAAATAGCTCAAAAGTCTTTTAATCGTTTCAGTAATTGAGAGAAAAAATATATTACTATCATGCAGACAAACATTCAAATACATGTACACACACTTACAGAAGCCATGTTTGCCCAGTGAGTCTAAGGAGTAAGCCTTAGAGGGAGGTAGCTCTATCTGGATCGCTCTCACAGGCACAGAGGTTATCTTGCTCTGAAAATCAAACACAGCAACTGTTTACAGCACGGCATGTTTCAATACAGCTCTGAGATTCTTTATATACAGTCTATGGTTTTAACATGTGGAGCTGAGGTGCAGATGAACGGAGCTATGAATCGGAGGGAAACAAACACAATGTGATAATAACAACAAATGAAGTTTGACAAAGAGAAATATAAACAATAAGAAACTGTTTTTCAAGCCACCACCAAATGTGTCCGGAACTTCGGTTTACGACTTTAAAACCTGCACTTTGTGTTGTGCTAAATAATAGCATGCTAACATTTACAGTCTTTTTTAAAATGTGTTTACGATAAGATAAAGATAAAAGGTCAGTAGAAGTAATAATATATAAACAAGCAATAAAAATACAAAAAAATATGATAATATAAATAGAAAATAAATAATATAAGCAGTGAAATGTTGAAAGTAAAATAGATGTGTAAACTATTTTATATATAATGTAATATAAATATTTGTGTTGATTAATTTGGTATCTATCATGAAGCATATGTAGAATCTGTTGTCTTTATGAACATCAATATTATACACTGACATTCTGAGACACTTTTTGTTGTATTTACTTGAACATATTCAAAGATGAAATATTTTTAAATATTATTCTCCGTTTTAAATCTACGTAAACTGTATCAAATCTATAATATAATCAAAATCATTGAATTCTGAAAAAAAACAAAAAGGAGTTGCGTTGGCCGGGAATCGAACCCGGGTCAACTGCTTGGAAGGCAGCTATGCTAACCACTATACCACCAACGCTCACGTCGACGTTCGAGTCAGATAAAACTGTGTAGCTGCACTGTACAAGGGCACTGCAAAGATTTACACGATATTGTATATAGTTAACTCTGACTTGTTTGAGTCAACGTGGACAGAAACAGTTTTCTTCTATTGTGTTTGTCAAGAAGCAACAAACCAGAGAAGTGGGTTATTGACCGACCTGACCCCCCCTCCTTTATTTGAACAAATGGTTCGGTCCGCACGCAAACTGAAGATCAGTCGGAGTTTACCATCACGTGGAAGTGGGTGTTTTTTTCCTCGAGTGTGTGTGTGTGTGTGTGTGTGTGTGTGCGTTAGCCTGTTAGCCTGTTAGCTTAGTCCCAGGTGATTTCAGACCACTCCTCTTCACTAAAGTTGTAAATGAATACCTTAAAGTTCAGTTCTGAGAGTTTTCATTTCTCTCCCGTTTCTACTTCACACCCCTTCAGTCATAATGAACCAGCCCAGCTGAGGAATGGCCCACGTGTTAGGTAGTGTGACCACATCTGTTGGAACTTTAGTATAGTCATATTTAAAGTATTTAAATACTAACCTTCTACTCCAGAGAGAAGATTGATCTTTTGAATTGATTACACTGACATTAGTCTGGTTTCTGTATTTAATTCAGTGCCACCATTTGTCCTTCTCATTTCCATTTTATTTTCTAGTTCCACTTTGACAGCTGGTGCTGGTTTATTTGGTGTCTTAACATTGTTGATGATTTTAATAGTGTCATTATTGCTTGCTGTTAATGTATAAACAACTTTGCATATGTGCTCATTTGACTTTAATTGAAACAGTTAATGCAAATGTAAGTTTCATTTAATGTAAGCTATTTGTACAAGTTTGAGATATTTGTACAAGTTTGAGATGAGAATAAACTTCCCCTCAACATCAAATTGGTAGAATCAGGGCCTCAGTTTAAAAAGTCTGTCTTGTTTTATTGCATTGCTGAGTATGATGTAGCATTACTACCATTTGCTCCTATAATTTATTTTGTGAAGCACCTTGTAACTCTTGAAAGGAGTGACAAAAGAAAGTGAATTATTATTCCATATATCCATATTATTAACTCTCACATCAGTCAAGCATCAAACAGTGACTTGCTGTTGCTGGTGGGGCCTCAGATATGTTCATGGGGCCCTAAGTCCCTGATCGTACCTGTAAGTATTTGTAAATGTGCAGGCTGAGCAAGTCTATGGAGGAACATATGATGCACAGGCCCATGTTGGAAGTGGTGTTGTGGAGATCGCAGAGCAGATCCACGGCCTTGTCACTTCCTTTGGGCCCGAGCTGAGCGTTCAGCTCTTGGGCTCGCCTCACCTCGTAGGGTGAGGAATCTGTTATCGGGGAACTGAAAACCAGACAGAGAGTTTTGTCATGAATTAATATTCTTGTGGAATCAATTCTCCCACAAGGGTTTTGTTGTTTATCTTACCTCAGTATATCTTCTGTGAAGCAGCGGTTCAGATCTGTGTCTATGTATCTCCTGCAAGCCTCCACTGCTCGTGGGTTTGATAGGACGGTGGTTACTGAGACAGAATCAGTCTCTTTTGCCTTGAGTTTCTGCAGTTCCCTCGAAATATACACGCCGGTCCACTCATTTCCATGGGTGCCACCAGAAATGGCAAAACGGGACAGTGGCGGTAAAGACTCACACTCCATCTGTCGGCAGGAAAAAAAAGAGTAATTATGATTAATTGATTATTGTCTTCAGGCGTTGTACAAGTGTATATAGGCAATTAGGCATGCCTGTGTTTCTTGAAGACGTTTTACTTAGCGTTCTATCTGTCTGTCTATCTGTCTGTCTAGCTATCTAAATCTTCACAGATATGTCGCTATTATGTTGTATTTCAGTTGTTAAAATATCTGAAGTTGAACGAGCCAGTAAGTCAAAAGTTAAATATGTGTAAAGTCAGCTGAACCTGTTTTTAAAATGTAAATGTGTTACATATAAACCAGACTTGACAATTCTAGTAAGAAACTATGGGGTTGAGAGTGTAGAAGTCGTCTGGGATGACAAGTCTGTCAGTCATTTCATTTAATACCTGACTCAGTCTCAAACAAGTTATCCCATATCCACGTAGTGACCGATTTTAGCTTTTCCAGTTTGTGTTTGTGAACAATAGTACAGACGACTTTCTGGGCACACGTTTAACAGCTTTAGGTGTAATTCACAAAATGTTCACTCACGGGGTGAATTCATTTGTTGCTGTTTAAAATCACTGAAGCCTAATGAGTGTGAGCGAGAACGTGCAAGTCACTGAGAAGAAAATAAACTTCTTCCAGAGTTGAAGTGTCTAGGAATGTTCTAGGAATCCCCCCCCCCCCCCCCAAATCTTTGCAGAATGGGTCAGTGTGATATTTTTGTGCACATCTGTACACATCTGTCCACCAGATGTGCATTAGTCAATGCAACATCGAAGCTCTAGACTGTTCCAGCTCCAGCTGGTTTAACATTGAGTCTGATCAAACAATCACAAAACAAACGAATTTGAAAGTTGGTAATTGTTCACAAACTGCTGACTGTCAAAGAGCAAAGTTCTGTGCTGCTTTGTTCAAGTCACATTATCTGCACAATGAGAAAAACACGTCAGTCAGTTCGACACAACAACTGCACAAGAGACAGCGCTGTCGGCTGCATGTCTCACCTTTCTGTCAAAACTGGCTCCTGGTCGCCACTCGCCGACGTCCAATAACCTTTGAACTTACACAGCAGGTTGTATGAAGAGAGAAATGCAGTTTTTCATAACCTGCAAACAAAACAATTAAAAGTGAAACTCCACGAGCTGCTCCCCTGTCCTGACCCTGCACCGTGAACACTCAGGCATGAACATACAGATGCAAATTGCTTTGGTTTATAACTGGCTCTCCTACTTCCTGGTGTTTCTTTATCTCCTCCCATGCCCATCCTCTTTTGCGTTCTGCAGATCAAATTTCAAGCAGTCGGAATTTTTACGATGTAACGTGACATCTGACTATGGTATTTTCACTCAAACCAGTTGGAGCCCCTTTGCTCTCTGGTCTGTTTTGCAACTTTGAGGGTCAACAAGAACAAACGCATGTTTTAAGTTTCGCCACTGATACAAATCAAGATAATCTACTGTAGCAGCTGCACTAAAACACAACATTTCATAATGGAATAATGAGCAGTGGTTGAAGTCTGATAAATGTGGCGTCTTGTGGGGAAAAACAGGGTAAACAGGGTAACAGTGTAAACATTGTGAATGTTCTGAAAAGGGCTGCAGACAGAGGTGGATTTTATCAAGAAGAAAGGGACCAGTCCGACCAGTTTAAATGGGTGAACACCACAAGTCAGTCTAATGGCAGTCTGAGTGGTTTAATAGTCAGCTGTAACTTCACAGATGTGTACATTTATTCTTGATTATTGCTGGTTTA